GACGGCTAGCCGGCTTAGCCGGCTAAGAGTCTATCGGCTTAGCCGGCTAAGGTTTTTTTAACGGCTGATATCACTACTGGAAAGAAAGTATTCAAATGCAGTTTTTCGAAAATTCTACAAAATATCACATGATAAAAAAGTAAATAAAAAGTCATTTGTAATTTAGGTTCTTGTGGTTAAATTATATTAAATGAAAGTCTTTGGTTTTAGATACTAAACATATGAAATTTCATGATTCTATATACAAGATCTAAAAAACTCGAAACACAATCAGTAAATCTTTATTGTTATTAATGTATTATTGATAATTGATTTTCACTTCTTTAATTCTAGATAGTACAAATCATTAAATTCATATTCACAATAAGAGCCTGAGCTATTGAATAATATTAATATAAATTTCATATATATATAAGATTTTGCGAAAAATGCATTCAACGTGATGATCTTTCTAAAAACGGATTTAATATAATAGTCTAATAAATCTCTACGAATTTTCAAAATCTATCTAGTCCACCAATCCTTCTCTTGCTGTTATAAAAATAGTATCAAATGGAAGCTTGGAACTTACTCTTCCATTTAATTGTTGTGGACTTTTAAAATTTTTATTTAAAACTTTTTTTTAGATATAACTTTTTTATAAACAAATAATTAAAAAAAATAAAGCCATTCATTATACCGAAGTATATGTTATGTAGTAGTTATATACTAATTTTAAATAGAGGTCTATTTGATAATAATAATTTATTTTTTAAATGTGATGTCAATTATATTTGTGTTTATACTGATGTGCAACACCCCAATACCATACAGTTAATGAATAAATTATAAACTTTACAATTTATTATTTAAAAAGTACTTATAAATATTTTCCTCGATAATTTTCACTAAACTTTTAATTTGATCTTCCGTATTATCCGCATGTATACATATTCTTATACGCTCTTTACCGATTGGTACAGTTGGTGATCTAACTGCTTTAACATTATATCCAGATTTTTGTAATAGCCGACTTAAAAACACAACATTTTCATTTCCTACATAATAACAATAAATATTACTATCGCTTTGTAATAATTAAATTAATTAATTGATCAAGCGGATAAAAATTAAATTTTTACCCGGAATTATGATGCCTTGAATTTGACTATTAGATGACAATAACATATGAGATGGTAGTTTTATGGTGGATTTAAACAATACGATTAATCTTTTTAGATTTTTTCGCAACTATAATAAATATTAATATAGTCATTAATTAAATTAAATTATTATTATTAATAACTGATAATCACCTGATCTCCTAATTCGCTTGACATAATCTTGTAAGCACACTTTATACCAATGAGGTTATTATATGGCAGAAATGTGGAAAATATCAGAGGTCTAGCATAATTTAAAAGATATGACTTGAGAACTTTAGGTCCAAGTATTGCACCTGTTTTATCATTATTATTATTAATTATTGATAATTATTAATAGACTATACTTATAATAATATTATTATTACTAAATAAATGCTACATTAGTCACCTCCATTACTAGCCAATGCTTTTCCAAATGTATGAAGACGTGCAAATACTTGATCTTCTAAGCCTAATTCATTAACAATTCCTCTTCCTTGTCTACCATAAACTCCAGTTGAATGTGCCTACTTGTAAAATTTAGATTTATACGTTTATATATTTAAATATAATTTATATACACACATTACAAAAAAATAATAAATAATACCTCATCAACTATTAAATATACATTATTGTAAGGTTGTGAAATTTCAACAATTTCTTTTAATGGTGCAACATCACCATCCATGGAATACAAACCCTCAACTGCAATAAATATATTATTATTTCTATTATTAATCTTTTCTACTATTGATTTTAAAGCTTTTTCAAAGTCTTCTAAATCATTATGTTTAAATTTCACTATAAATTTGGCCCTGGAATTCTTTACTCCTTCATGTACGCTAGCATGTATAAATTCATCCATTATAATGGCATCTCCAGGTTGCGGAACACTTCCAAAAAACCCTACATTTGCATCAAATCCTGATGTGAATGTTAAGGCTGATTCTGCTCTATGAAACACAGCGAGATAATCATCTAATGCGTCTGCTGATTGGGAATTTCCATCCAATAATCGAGATCCTGTTGAACCTAATAATGGTTCATCTGTTGGTAAATTTAAAATTTCCGATATATATAACTGTTTCAATTGTTGATTCCTTGATAAACCCAAGAAATCATTGGATGAAAAATCTATCTGGTTTAAATCTTTTGCTACTAGTGTGCGTAATAAATTACGATCTTTGCGCTTTTCTAAAATATCCTCCAGCTGTTTTATCAACGGCATTTTTTGTATGAATCTGATGATGATCAATATCATTTTTATAATTTGATGGATTTTATCTATGAAATGCTATAATTGGAATCTTGTAATTTTGATCGCTTGCAAAATTACCAAGAAGAGAGAATCTTGGAGAAAAAAACAGTTGATGATGGGGTACAGCAAATGGTGTAACTGAAAATAAAAAATGCCATAATATAAAAGATAGAAATGAAAATGTAAAGCAGAAAGCTAATAACAATTGAGGTTGAAGAAAATAATATTATATTAACGTAACAAGTAGTATATAGTAATAAGAAAAAATGAACCAAAGAAGATGTCGATCATAAAATATATAATATGTGTTCCAGGGTTATGCTTTTTTTTTTGTAAATTATGCTCCAAATTATGCTTTTATGCGATTATAATTTGAGAATAATTGGGGCATGGACAATAGAAAGGGGGCAAACGTCAAAAATCATGATTTTGAGTTGATGCCATATATATATGTAACTCGTCGCAAGGAACAATTTTAGCTTAAGAACAATACCCACATTACTTAATAAAATTTTGAGATATTTTCTGTTAAAGTTTTTAAAAACAATAGGTAATTACTTGAAATGCAGATCTTTTTTTTCGATTATCTCAAAATCGTGATTTTGACGTTTGGTCCCTTTCTATTGTCCATGCCCCATTTATTATATGCTTATTATTATGCTATCCAAAAAAGCAAGAATCATCATTATCCATAATATTGAGAGAATTTTATTATAAGTGACATACACTCACCTACCATAAATATCCGACCACTTGCATTGTGTAATGTCAAATGAAAAAAGCACTTACTAAATAAAGTACGTTTTCTTAAATAAAACCTTTTCTGCTATACTAAGTAAACTCATATTTGATACCAAACTCTATATTACAAAAATTTCAAACAGTTTGGTATGGTATTAATGGAAATATTAGCAAATCATCCAAAAAAGTGAATTTCCGATTGAATTTTTACACATAATAAAAGGTCAAATTTTTTTGTTAACATAATGGATTACATATATTTACAATACAGTGACAGCATAAATTAGTTTGTGAAAAGGGTTTAAAAAAGTATCTGACCACCCTGTAATTTTTTGGAAAACAAAATTGATGTGTAAAGTCAAATTTTTTGATTTTTGTTTGCAAGAACAATTTCTAACCAAATTAGATAATCTTTTTTTTATTTTAAAGCTTAAAGCAAAGATTTTTTTTTAGTCAAAATAATATGCAGAAATCAACAGAACTTTCTGATTTTGAACGTGGAAGGATTATTGGTATGTGGGAAGCTGGCTTGAGCGAAAGAGGGATTCAAAAAAAAACTGAGAATAAAAAAACAACAATTCACGATACAATAACAAGATATAGAGATGGGGGCAAATAAAATCAAAACTAAGACCAGGTAGACCAGTAATAGCATCAGCTCATGATAAAAGAGGTCTTATAAAAATTGTTTAAAAAAGATAGAACACAAACTCTCTTTGATGTCACTGACCAGTTTAATGAAACGGCTAATTTATCTGTGAGTTCTTCAACTGTGCATAGATATCTTCATGAATTAGGTTATTATGGTCATGCTGTATTGAGAAAACCTCTTATAAGTGAAAAAAACAGAAAAGATTGTCTAGCATGGTGTTGTCTAAGAAAAAATTGGGTTGATGAATGGGATTTAATAATATGGAGTGATGAATCATGTTTTGAAATATTTCAAAGTGATTCTCATCATCATGTGTGGCATAGGCCTCAAGAAAAGTATGACATTGACTGTTTAATCCCAACAGTAAAACATGGCGGCAATGGAGTTATGGTATGGGGTTGTTTTGTAAATGGCAAACTTGGACTGTTAGTTGAAGTTGATGGTCGTATTACTGGTTCAAAATATAGAGAAATACTTGGAGAGAATTTAATTCCGTTTTTAGATAGTTTAGATAGTCAATTAACATATTCCTTCCAGGATGATAATGCTCCCGCACATACAATTAGCCGGCTAACATCACTATTTTTATTTTTATTTTTATTTTTATTTTTATTATCTATTATCTATTCTTATTTTCATTATTCTTATTTTTATTATTTTTATTTTGTTAATTCTAATTATTTATTAATAACGTGTATAGTTATTATCATCAGAATTCGTGTTACGTCCCGTCTATTTAATTAATCTGTAGCACGTTCATATTTATTTAACTTTATTTAGTAGAGATTAATGACGATTATCCCAGACTGGACGAAATCACCCAAACCGGGCAGAATCTCCCAAGTACAGTTCACACTCTCTATAACGGCCCCCTCTATAACGGCCTCCATTCTATAACGCACTGTAAATCAGAAACCAAATTTTTACTATAT